CGTTTTTTGTTTTTGTTTTTCATTTTTGATATCGAACTGATACTAAGCTGTGCAATGCATAAATAACATTTTCAGTTTGCGACAAATTCCAATCCAATTTTGTCATCAACACGCAGCATCCGTCAGCCACCAATACTAAAACACACATGTTTTTGACAATATTGCATCTTTAATCGACAGAGAATCGACACACCAAACTATCAATTCTGTATCACGCAGAGCAACCGGGCATTCATGGTACCATACTTGTAATTACGGGCGGGGCCTATATATAGTGCTGTAACTTGGAATTAATTATGAACGCTGTCCAACGCATCACCGAACTTCCTTCCGGGCGTCAGTGCCATGACGCTCCATTAAGCTTAACGACTCGTGTAAGAAGAGCGTGGAGTGTGAACGGTTGCTGGTTATATCCAAATGGTGCAACAAGTTCACGCACAATACTGCAGTGCAACGAACATGGCAACAGTATTTGTATCCACTGGGTATGCAGAATCATAGCATGAACGCCCACGTGTTGATACGTCAGAGTGTTATTTTAAACTAGATTGGTTGCGTTTACAGCCTGTACAAAATGGAAACAGTATTTGCACCTCACGACTGTTAATTGTTTAACGGTTATAGTCGAAGAGGTGGCCGACAAACAGCCGATCGATTAGAAAATCGCTGCCCACCAGTGTAACGCCGATAACAACGCCATGAGTGTGGTCGTATCGGACATCGCTAAACGACGGCGTTCCAGTGCTGTGAAGGTCCGGGATGTGGCGTGTCGATTTAACATTTTTCGAAAGAAAGTCCGCAATACGACGATTCTGTTCATAGCAACCATCGCATACGTCATGGTAGGTGGATACATGTTCCATCACGTCGAGGGACACAGCAAAGAGGTCGACGTTCGGCCAAATATGACAGAAAAGGAAATCATAATAGCGAATAAGCTATGGAGCAGCGCTGCCAACACGACGCAGAGCGATTGGCACGAGTTTGCCATGAAAGAGCTGACAATATTTCGCAAGGAGGTGCAGAAAGATGCGTGGTTGTACAAGGATGGCCGAAGCAATCATGACCGCTGGAATTATTTCTCGTCTTGCTTTTTCTGTCTGACGGTCATTAGCACAATCGGTAAAGTAATATCTTAATAATAATTTGTCTTTGGTATGCGTTCGTAACAGTGACGTGGCAGGGGGCGATAAAATGCGAAGTGCAATAATTAAACGATTGCATAACATTCCTAGTACGGGTGTCCTGAAAACAACAGCGGTGGGATTGTAATGTAGGAACATAATCAATTTGCATACTGCCGGCACGAGCGTTACTTAAACAAAGACACGTATGTTACTGTACATCCATGACAATAAATACAAAAGGACATTCGCCTTAAATGTTGTTTCTGTTAGAAATTCCGATTTTATATAGCAAAAATCAGAAATGGCACCAATCTCCATATTTTGCTTTGTGTGAGTAGCGTATTATTGATTTTTTAGGGAATCTGTGGCAGCATCGTTTATGCGGGTTGTTGTGACAGCGCACACGCCATTATACCACTCGTTCGAATGCATTTGTGGGCATTCGAACTAATAAATAGTTAAAACAAATTAATCACAAGTCTTCAAATTTTCGTGCTCTTTCCACAAAGTATGATTTATTGTTTTGGAGAAAACAAGCCTGAAAAACAAAATGCAAAAATATACATGTTTTGAATAATGACCATAAAATCCATAATAAAAGTCCAAAATAAATAAATAGTCTGCAAAATAGATTTAAATATTTGTGATCACTATAAGTGCCCACCACAAAACCACAATATAATTATTGTACCATGTGTAGCCGAATATAATTTTGAGATATAAAAAAAAAAAACGTTTTTGCCATGAAAACCAATAATAAATTACTCGAATATCACCCCTTTAATCGTGGATGTTTAACCCGTATTTTGTGAGGGAACATACACCTATGTCGGACTTAAATCTGACCTGTACAACACTGCCCACTGACAGCCATGCGTCACCGATGGACAATCACAGCTGATTCTTTTCCGCATTTGAAAACCATCTCAGCGTAAACTCACTGAAAAAAAGAAGAAAAAAACATACACGCGCATTTGCTGATATATTATTTATTTGGTTGTTATGTTCTAAATTATGGATAGTGACCCTCAATCTCAAAATAATAATTTGTGTAGCCAACACTCGACTCAAATGATTTATGCTGGTAGGTAGGCCCTCAACGTCAGCCACACACATATTCATCGTGAAAACCCGGCATTCTATATTGATTTGTCAGATATAGCAATTACAAAAATTGTAATGGCTAAATATTTGTCTATTTTAAAATACATGTCCAACACGATGTATGGGACCCATGTCCAACCTGATGTATGGGACCCATGTCCAACTCGGTGCATGGAACCCATGTCCAACACGATGTATGGGACCCATGTCCAGCACGATGCATGGGATCCATGTCCAAT